CCAAGTGCTTGGGCACTTGCACCCCATGGGAGACCAGGAGAAGTACCTGGCTCCTGCCATCGGATCAGAGCAGTGTGCCGGCCGCAGCGCGCTGGCTGTGGCGGCCACTGGAGGGTGAACCAATGGCAAAAGGAAGACCTTTCTCTCTGTCTCTCTCTCTCACTGTCCACTCTGCCAGTCAAAAAAAAAAAAAAAAGAATTGTGTATTGATTACAGAATTCAACAAAAGTATTAAGTAGAACAAACAAACAAACAAAATACTAAGAGGGATAACATATCAAGTTGCTCATCAACAGTCAGGGTGAGGGCTGATCAAGTCACCATTTCTCATAATATTCATTTTACTTTAACAGGTTTCCGTTTTGGTGTTCAGTTAGTTGTCACCTATCAAGGAGAATAAGTGGTATTTGTCCCTTTGGGATTGGCTTATTTCACTCAGCATAATGTTTTCCAAATTCCTAACAGGGATCACTTTTCAGTTAAAATTTAAACACCTAAGAATAATTGTGTGTTAATTACAGGGTTCAACCAACGGTACTAGAACAAAAAAAATACTAAAATGGATAAAGTATTACATTGTACATCAACCGTCAGGACAAGAGCTGATCAAGTCACTGTTTCTCATAGTGTCCATTTCATTTCAACAAGTTTCCCCTTTGGTGCTCAGTTAGTTGTCATCGATCAGGGAGAACTCATATGATATTTGTCCCTTTGGGACTGGCTTAATTCACTCAGCATGATGTTTTCCAAATTCCTCCATCTTGTTGCAAATGACCGGATTTCGTTGTTTTTGACTGCTGTATAGTATTCTATAGAGTACATGTCCCATAATTTCTTTATCCAGTCTACTGTTGATGGGCATTTGGGTTGGTTCCAGGTCTTAGCTATTGTGAATTGAGCTGCAATAAACATTAATGTGCAGACAGCTTGTTTGTTTGCCAATTTAACTTCCTTTGGGTAAATTCCAAGGAGTGGGATGGCTGGGTTGAATGGTAGGGTTGTATTCAGGTTCCTGAGGAATCTCCAAACTGACTTCCATAGTGGCTTAACCAATTTGCATTCCCACCAACAGTGGGTTAGTGTCCCTTTTTCCCCACATCCTCTCCAGCATCTATTGTTGGTAGATTTCTGAATGTGAGCCATTCTAACTGGGGTGAGGTGAAACCTCATTGTGGTTTTGATTTGCATTTCCCTGATTGCTAGTGATCTTGAACATTTTTTCATGTGTCTGTTGGCCATTTGGATTTCCTCATCTGAAAAATGTCTATTGAGGTCCTTGGCCCATCTCTTAAGTGGGTTGTTTGTTTTGATGTTGTGGAGTTTCTTGATTTCTTTGTAGATTCTGGTTATCAACCCTTTATCAGTTGCATAGTTTGCAAACATATTTTCCCATTCTGTCAGTTGTCTCTTTTGTACAGTCTTTTTCTTTGTCTTGTTTCACTTAAGTTAATATAGTTTGTTGCTGATGATCAGGTTTTATCCCTTTTACAGCTGACTACCACGACATTGTAATATGTATTTTCTTTATCTATCTGCCAGTTGATGGACACTTAGGCTGTTTCTGTTTGTTGGCTATTGTTATAATGAAATAAACATGAGACTGTATGTCTTCAACTTTTTTGAATGTGTACTCACTAGTGAGATAGATGGATCATCTGAGAGGTCTATATTTACTTATCTGAGAAACTTCCATACTGTTCTCCACGACAGTTGTACTAATTTATGTTGCTGCCAACAGTGTATAAGGGTTGCCTTTTCTACATGTTGTGGCCAGTATTCTTATAGTATTTGGAAAATCTTATCTTGACTTTTTTGCTTTATTTAATTATACTAGAGATTTTAATTCACTAGAATATCTTCAGTTTCCAAAGCTAAATTATAAAATATACATAAAAGGAACAATGATGGCAAAGTTGCAGTTGCCTTACTGTAGTTCAGTTAATATTTTTCTTAATAGTTACTTAGTGGTTTGTAATTTGATTTGTAAACTAATTTTTCATCTTTAATTAAATGGACAGTTTGAACTAAAAAGTTAGAAATTGTGTAGGAAAAAATCCTCTGAAACCTGGACTTTCACTTATCTAATCCTCAATAAACTTAAGATATTTTCTACTTCACTGAATTATCATATTTCTTGTATCATGAGAGATACATTCCTGAATATTTTTCTTAATAAAATAGAAAAAGAAACATGAATTTGAATTAAGTTATAATTCTATCACAAACATTTACTTTTTAGTGATGAATTTAAAGGATCAATTCCAGATGTAAATGGAGATGCTTAAATTAAAAATGTTCCAAAATACATATAGTCAAAATCAAAGAGACAGACTGGGTTTTCAATGGTAGCATAGGGAGGGAACTTATTGCTGTAGCCTAGGGGAGGATAGTTTTTAAAAAAGTGGAGAGACCATTGCTTGCTTCCTTTATCATTCAAAACTTGTTCTCAAAGTAAAAAGAAGTATATTATAGTAAAAATTAAAAGAAAAATAAGAAAGGAAATAGGAAGAAGAGTGGGAAGGAAGGAGGGGGGATGGGGTGAGAAGTGTCATGTTTTTAAAACTGTATGTATGAGATATATGAAATTTGTTCCATTTATATAAATAAAAAACTTTAAATTAATAGAAAAGTAGCCAATGAGGGGAGTGGAAAGAGTGCATTCTCAGGGGAGAGTTAGGGAGAAAACTGCAGTGGAAATTTTACAGTAGGAAGGTGGACCCATGGATCTATGTGGAGGGTGTGGACATGCAGCAGAAGTACAGAAACAACACAGGACCCCAGCAGCTGAGAGCCGGAGAGAATGCCAGCTTTGGAGAGTTAGGTGAGATCAGACTGCAGCAGCCTATGCCACTGGAGATATAGCTGGGGGAGAGCCTCATGTGAGTCCAGCCTGAAGCCCTGTGGGGGACAAGACACCTGCTAATGTAGCAGGAAAAAGGGGCATGTTTCTCCCTCCCAGTCCCTCCACACCCACAACAGTGCCTGGCAATCAGCTAAGGGCAGGCACCATCTTGGACATACATAACTGCTAGGCCAGTTGTGCAAGTGCCCAGCAACTGGCAGAGACAAGATGGATGCCATCCAGTCATTACATGTGGCAGTGGCTTGGGTCCATGTACCTGGAAACTGGGAGTGAGAAAGCATCACTGTGAAATTACAAGGGGATGTGACACGTGGCTCTCCTGTATGTATGTGATTCAGGGATTTTTCCAGAGGAAAAAAATCCGTGTTCTCCTACTTTGAGTCTGACTGAGAGGATAGACAAGAGGTTGGATACCCACATAGGACTGTGAGGTGCCCCCAGCAGCTCAACATATCACAAACTCTGGGGCTCAACTCCCATAGGCAGAGCACCCACAGGCAGCTGGCTCTGGGAACGTCTCTGCCTCTTGGTAGAAAGGACAGGCTAGTAGGGGGAAGTGGATCCTTGGCACCCCATGACTGTGGAAGCCTTGTGTGCTGAGACTATGGGAACTCTCCATGAGATGGTATAGGCTGTAGCTAGGTCTCTGGGCAATCACTGTGAGCAGTTCCATATGTTCAGAGCTCCCTGATTGTCTGGGTGGTTCACTGCAATGGATCCTGTGCTCACATTGAGGACTGCACAGATCCTTTGCTTGGTTCTTATGGCAGTATGGATGAGTATTGCATCAACTATGGGCCAAAATGTGGTCACTGATCACCTTGGAAGGCAGAAGGTGAGGGGTTGATTACACCAAAAGAGGTGATTAAATTTTCCTTTTTGATAAAAAAAAAAAGAGATCACCCATGCCCATCTTGGGTATCACCCTGGATACTCACCCCACATTGGAGCACTGATCAGAGTCCTTGGATAAACCCAGCACACACCTCTGGATATTCACTGAAAGAGCAGACATACCATTAAGCCACAGAGGTTTAGTTCAAAGATAAAAGTTATGAGGGAAAAAACCAACAAGTCTTTTCAGAAATGCCTAAAAATAAGTGCAGAAATTCAAGAAACAAGAATAAGGAAAATAACAACACATCAATATTAGAGTGAGAAGATAAAGAGATTGATTAAATGCCTAAAACAGAATTCAAAAGATTATCATTGGATTATTCAGAAACTATCAGGAGCAAATTCATGAATTAAAGAAATCTATACATGACATGAATGAAAATTTTTCAACATGAAATATTATAAAGAATTAAATAGATAAATAAAAAATTTTGTGGAAAGCCTTAGTAACTGGACTTGATGAGACAAAAGAAATGATACTCAAGATAGAAGACAATTCTATGGAACTTTTAAAAGACCAAAAATGAAGAAGAAATAAGAGAAATTAAAACAGTGTTGGAGATTTATAGGATAATTTCAAATGACCCAACATAAGTGTCTTAGGCATTACAGAAGGTGTGGAAAGAGAGAACAGATTAGAAGGCCTACTGAGTAAAATAATCACAAAAACTTCCCCAATTTGGAGAAAGGGATGTCCAAGTACAGGAAGCACATAGAACTCCTAACAGAAAGGATCAGAAAAGATCTTCACCACAACAAATTGTAGTCAAACTTTCCACCATAAAACATAAAGAAAAGATGTTAAAATGAACAAGAGAAATACCACATTACTTTCAGAGTATCTCCAAATAGATTCACAGCTGATTTCTCATCAGAAATGCTACAGGCTAGAAGTGAATACAGAGACACAGTTTAAGTCTTAGGAGGAAAAAAAACTGTCACCCTAGACTCCTGCACCTTGAAAAGCTCTCATTTTTGAATAAAGGTGAAATGAAGTCCTTCCATAACAAACAGAAATGGAAAGAATTTGCCATTACACATCCAGTCTTACAAAAGATGCTTAAGGATATGCTATTCACAGAAACACAGAAAGATACTCATTATTATTGAAAGAATGTGAAGGCAGGAAATCTAATAAAAGTGCAAAAGAAACCAAAGCAAACAATAGGAATATTCACAGAAAAATGTCAGGGCCCAGTCATTACATATCAATAGTAACCTTGAATGTAAATGGTCTAAACTCTTCAGTTAGAAGACATAAAACTGGCTGAATGAATTAAAAAAAAAAAAAAAACAAGATCCATCTATTTGCTGCCTATAAGAAACACATCTCATCAACAAAGATACATACAGAATGAATGTGAAAGGATGGAAAAATATATTCCATGCTAACAGAAAGCAAAAAGGCAGATGTATCCATCTTAATACCAGACAAAATAAACTTAACACAAAAACTGTTAAAAGAGACAAAGAATGGTGCTATGTAATGATTAAAGGAAGTCACAGGAATATGTGACTATAATAAATGTATATGCACACAATTACAGGGCACTTGGCTATTTAAAACAAATATTAATGGATAAAGAAAGACATAGACACCAATACAATAGTAATGGAGGATTTCAACACACCACTTTCATTAATGGACAGATCAATCAGACAGAAAATCAACAAAGAAACAACAGAATAATTGAAACTATGGACCAAATGGACCTAACTGATATATACAGAACTTTTCCTCCCACAGTTGCAGAATACACATTCTTCTCATCAGTGCACAGAACTTCCTAAGGATAGACCATTTGCTAGGCTATAAAGCAAGTCTCAGCAAATTAAAAAAATCAAAATTATACCATGCATCTTCTCTATCCACATGAAATGAAGCTGCAGAAATCAACAACTAATTCTAAAACACATGCAAACACAGAGATTGAACAACATGCTCCCGAATGAACATTGTGTCATAAAAGAAATCAAAAGAGAAATTTTAAAAATCTGGAAATGAATGAGGGGGACAATATGACATTTCAAAAATTATGAACTGCAGCAAAAGCAGTGTTAAGAGGAAAGTTTACAGCAATTTGTGCCTACATCAATAAACTCAAAGGGCACCAAATAAATCAGCTACCAATACATCTCAGGACCTATACATCTCAGGACCAAACCAAAGCCACAAATATTAGGATGAAAGGAATAATTAAAAATAGAGAAGAAATAAACATAATTGAAACCAAAAAATATGAAAGATCAGTAAAATAAAGTTGAGTTTTGGAAAAAAATGAACAAAATTCATACACCATTGGTCCAACTAAACAAAACAAGACCCAAATAAATAAAATCAGAGATGAAAAAGGAAATGTAACAATAGATATCATAGCAATAAAAAGAATAAACAGGAATTACTATAAACACTTGTATGCCAGCAAATTAGGAAATCGAAAAGAAATGGGTAGATTCCTGGATTCAGGCTACCAAAAATGATTCATGAAGACAAAGGAAACCTAACTAGACCAATAACCAAGATGGTGATTAAATAAGTAATAAAATTCTTCCCAACAAAGAAAAGCCTAGGACCAGATGGCTTCATGACAGATTTCTACCAAGCATTTAAAGAACTAATTTCAATTATTCTCGAGCTATTCAAAACATTTGAAAAGGATGGAATCCTCCCAAACTCCTTCTATGAAGCCAGTATTAGCCTAATTCCTAACCCAGAATAAGAAACAATGGAGAAAGAGAACTATAAACTAATGTCCCTAATGGACACAGATGCAAAAATCCTCAACAAAATACTAGCTAGTCAAACTGAACAACACATCAGAAAGATCAAATCACCTGGACCAAGTGAGATTTATTCCTGGTATGCAGGGATGGTTCAACATTCCCAAATCAATAAATGTGTGCATCACATTAACAGACTGAAGAACAAAAACCATATGATTATCTCAATAGATGCAGGGAAAACATTTGATAAAATACAGCATCCTTTAATGATGAAAATCTTAAGAAAATTGGGTATAAATGGGACATTCCTCAACACCATCAATCTTACTGAATGGAGAAGAAATGGAAACATTCACACAAAAATCCATAACCAGACAAGGATGCCCAATCTCACCATTGCTATTCAATATAGTCCTGAAATTTTTAGCCAAAGCAATTAGGCAAGAAAAAGAAATCAAAGGGATACAAATTGGGAAGGGGAACGTCAAGCTGTCCCTATTTGGAGATAACATTATTCTCTATAGGTAATCCAAAAGACTCCTTTAAGAGACTATTGGAATTCATAAGAGTTTGATAAAATGTCAGGACATAAAATTAACATACAAAAATCAACGACCCTTATATACACAGACAATACCATGGTTGAAAAGGAACTTCTAAGACCATTCCCATTCACAATAGTTACAAAAAATTAAATGCATTGGAATAAGTTTAACCAAGGATGTCAAATATCTACATGATGAAAATTATAAAACATTACAGAAAGAAATTTAAGACACCAAAAATGGAAAAAAATCTTTCATGTTCATTAATTTGAAGAATAAATATCATCAAAATGTCCCTACTACCAAAAGCAATTTAGAAATCCAATGAGATCCAAATCAAAATACCAATGACAATCTCCGATATAGAAAATATACTTCTAGGCCGGCGCCGCGGCTCACTAGGCTAATCCTCCGCCTAGCGGCGCCGGCACACCGGGTTCTAGTCCCGGTCGGGGCGCCGGATTCTGTCCTGGTTGCCCCTCTTCCAGGCCAGCCCTCTGCTGTGGCCAGGGAGTGCAGTGGAGGATGGCCCAGGTGCTTGGGCCCTGCACCCCATGGGAGACCAGGAAAAGCACCTGGCTCCTGGCTCCTGCCACAGGATCAGCGCGGTGCGCCGGCCGCAGCGCGCTGGCCGCAGCAGCCATTGGAGGGTGAACCAACGGCAAAGGAAGACCTTTCTCTCTGTCTCTCTCTCTCACTGTCCACTCTGCCTGTCCAAAAAAAAAAATAAATAAAAAAAAAAAAATAAAAAAAAAAAAGAAAATATACTTCTAAAATTTATGTGGGAACACAAGAGAACAAAGATAGCTAAAACAATCTTTTACAACAAAAATAAAGCTGGCAGCATTATAACACCATATTTCAAGACATACTACAGAGCAGCTATAATCAAAGCAGCCTGGTATTTAAAAAATAGACATGTAGACTAATAGGGCAGAATATAAACTCCAGAAATCAACCCGCATATATGCAACCTACTTGTCTTTGACAAAGGAGCTAAAAATCAATCCCTGGAGCAAAGGCAGTCTCTTCAACAAATGGTGCAGGGAAAACTGGATCTCCACATGGAGAAGTATGAAACAATACCCTTTCCTTACACTGTACACAAAAATCTACTCCAAATGGATCAAGGACCTAAATCCACACCATCAAATTACTGGAGAACACTGAGGAAATTCTGCATGGTATTAGCATAGACAAAGACTTCTTGGAATAAATCCCAGAAGCACAGGCAATCAAAGCCAAAATTGATAAATGGGATTACATCAACCTGAGAAGCTTCTGTGCTGCATAAGAAACACTAAGGGATATGAAGAACTGAGCAATAGAATGGGAGAAAATATATTCATGCTATGAACTAGATAAAGGATTAATACCCCAAATCTATAAGAGCTCAAGAAACTCAACAACAAGCAAGCAAGCCAATTAATAAAAGGATATGGGGGCTGCTGCTGTGATACAGTGGGTTATGCTGCCACCTGCAGCACTGGCATCCCATATGGGCACCAATTTGTGTCCCAGGTGCCCTGCTTCTGATCCAGCTCCCTGATAACAGTCTGGGAAAGTAGCAGAAGATGGCCCAAGTCCTTGGGCCCCTGCACTCATATGGGAGACCCAGAAGCTACTGCCTCCTGGTTTCAGCCTGGTCCAGTCCCAGCCACTGTGGACATTTTGGGAGTGAAACAGAGAATGGAAGATCTCTCTCTGTGTGTGTCTCTCCCACTGCCTGTAACTCTGACTTTCAAATAAGTAATCCTTAAAAAAAGAAGAAAAGAAAGAAAAGGGCACAAGCATATGAACAGGAATTTTTCAAAGGATGAAATACAATGGCCAAGACACATGAAAATATGCTCAGGATCTATAGAGAAATGTAAATAAAAACAATGAAGTTTCACCTTAACCCAATTAGAGTGAATATCATCCAAAAATTAAAAAAAAATAACAAATGCTGACAAGGATGTGGGAAAAAGGCACCCTAATGCCCTGATGGTGGGAACGTAAACTAGTACAATCATTATGGAAGAGAAGAT